ATGCAATTTGATTTAAACTTCTCAGTCTCAACAAAAGTGTCAAAAAGTTTTCCTTTAAGAATGGAAAGGTACGCCAATTCATCTTTCGTTTGAACTTTTTCAGATATCAGGCCTCACACATCACGACAGTTCACGGATGTGTTTGCACGGAACCAACGGGATCCTGTAATGAAGTAAACAGGACGCGTCAGTTTCAACTTGAAAAAGTTATACAACGCCGCGAAAATGAACAGAATTACTGTTACAGTTTACACTACAAATCAAAAGCACCGTTTGGCGAAGAAGTCTTTAAAAAGTAAGCTATTTTTGAGCTTTTAGCCGTACCGAATTTCTAAGTAAATTCCTTAGAGATTTTTGTGTTGTCATTTTTGGTTAGTAAAGAAGCATTTGCTTTTTACGAAAAAAGTTGACGACATATAGCTTACAAAGAGACGTCAGTGTTTTTTTGCAACTTTCTAGAATTTGCAGAGAAGTTAAACTGGTAGGGTCTGAAAAAATTTAAAAATGATGAAGCGATGTAATATAAAACCTCATTTTTTGTATTTGAAAACTGTTGTTGAATATTAATGAATTATAATACTATACTGCTGACCGACATGGGCTGTAAGCAGCGATTACCAATTTTACGCTTGCTTGGTAAAACAGTGTTAGTTAGTTATATTGTTGGCGAGCACAATCTGTTGTTTTTTGGTTTCAGTTCGGATACTTGTGAAGGACAATTCTGCTTTATATCAATAACAACTTCTGAACTGTTTGTTGAAAGCACCAGTTTTGAGGAGGAAGAAGTAAATCAAAAAAGTGTGTATTTGTTTAATTTAGCTATTCTCGGCGTAACAACTTGCAAAGCACTTATCGTTTGCCAGCATTTCTAGAAACTTTTCTTAGCAGAGCAATATTTTTAAACTTTTCAAAAAAGTAAAGCGCTTTTGTTTGAATCTTATTCTCTGACCACTTATAGGTTTTATTGGCTTAAGTCGGCCAAGCTATGAGATCCTTGCCGGTTGTTTGAAGGTTGATGATGACAGTGTAAGTTTTTGCAAAGACTTTTTTTTCTTTTACTGATTTTGTTCTGGGACAGGATCTGCAAGGTTTAATAACAACTGAACTATTGTATACTACTTTTTAGTGAGAATTTTCTCAAGCCTAAGAATTGTTATAAAAGATATTTTTTGTTTTGTATTTTTTAAAGAAGAACCAAAACTGAGGCATATCTTCCTGGTTGAGATAAATATGAAGAAAAAAAAAATAAGTACGCGATTGATGAGCATCTATGAAATTATTTTCATTTAATTAATCGCTAGGGAAAAAGATTTGAACCTTTGTAATTTAGAAAAACAAGTAAATTGTATTATAGACAACAGAATTCGTGAAAAATAAATTAAGCTAGCTGTAAAAGGTTAGGAGTTGTCAAGCAAACACCAGATAACCAGGGTGTCGATCATTATCATGCTTAGATAACCGCCAAGGCTACTTTTTATACAATCGCATGACTAAAATCGTTTGTATCATATGGCTAAAATAATAAATAGATGATCAGCAAAACTTCGATGACAGTTATGATTATCAGAAAATCGTTAACCAACGTAGTCACACGTGAGGTAGTCGCTAAGGCACTCAAAAAAACATTTATCACTTTAATCTTGTATTCTTCGTATAAAGATGGTCCTTGAGCTTTACTTGCTTACAGGCAACAGTAATACAATAAAGACCAGTCATCACTGCTTATGGGGCTTCCTCGAACATTCTCTTGTGGCCTTATTTTCCTCTGACAATTCCTTGTAGTTTCTTGATTTATTAGAACTTGCTAAAGCATTTCAGACTACTTTTTCTACAAAGACTTTTTCCGTTTGTTAGTCAAATTTCTCAAGATTTTTTGAAAATTTTTTATTCTTTTTCATTCTGTATTTCTGCGCTCTGTGAATGCTTTGAGGTTTCATATAATGTTTTTTGCTTCCTTTTTACTTTTTTATTCTTTTTCATTAATCTGAAGAATTTTCAAAAAAGAATTAAACGTTCTTATTAGAAAAACTGTTTGGCTTTCAAGTACTCAACCTTCTTTCCTTTTTGTCTTCCACGCCATTAAAAATACTCCGTGGTTTCAAAGCTTCCATTACCGCTTTGAATGTCTTTCTTAAGCCATTTTTTTTCACTTGAATCTCAAATGCTTGGAAATTCCAAGAGTTTTTGAAAAGACCAGTAGCATTTCACCTTTATGTCGGGAAAACTCTGGTTTGTTTTGGAAGTAAGAAGTCATCAAAGCAAATGAAACCGTGAAAAGGAAGGGTTTACAAAACATTATTACTTTTAAGATATGTTTTTTTACAACATCGGTAACGAAAACTTTTAAATTTATTTTAAAGTTTGAAATTAGAATTTTAAGTTTTAGAGTAAAAGAAGAGAGAGCAGAAGAGACAGCTTATTATACGGAAAAGAGACATGCGGTTTTAAGAAACGGCAAAAATTTCTGATTTTTTTAGCTTAACAGTAAAAAATATTGAAAGGCTTTACAGGTGTCTAAAAATCACGATCAAAAAAAGACAGTTTTTTGAAGCAATTTTATTTACATATGTCAATTCGTGATGATTCCAATGACTGATTTTATAAGCAATTTTTCTTGTAGTTTTATGTGAAAACAAACACAGAAAGAACAAAAGACCTTCATACAGGAGGACCTCAATTAGGCTTTTTTATGACAGCATTTCATTCTTTACAAATTTTTACGGAGACAGAAAGGATTAGAAATAATTTTGCAGTGAAATAAAAACTATAAACGACATGAGCAGAAAATATGACAGAATCAAAAAAAAACCAGAGCACCTATTATCTGGTAAAGAAAAACAAAAAAGTTCTTGGAAGGTTTAAAAATATTTGACCACTCAGCGACAGAAGGTGCAAGAAGCAAGAGACAAAAAATGTTTCAGAGAATTTCAAAACACATGAAAATTGTAGGGAAAAACTATAGAAGAAAAATTTGTCACAGTCGGGTGTTTGAGGAAGCTTTAGAAACACTGATGGATGATAGTGCTTCATTGTAATGCTCTCTCTTGCGGTTGAGAGACTATCTTTAGGTGGTGGTTGAAGGTTTACGGTGTAGAGTAATTAGTCTCTTGACGATTTTTCCACTTGTGGATGCAATGATCAATGGGTTTATGGTATTTACAATTACTGTAATTAGGGTTTTGTTAATCATTTATTTCTTCACCATAGTCGATCAATAAGTCCTTGATGATCGTTAAAATTGCAAAGTGGAAATGGTTTATGTGAAAAATAGCCATTTGGTAATATCTAGCAGATTTTGGAAGGTGAGAGATTTAAAAGTTGCACTATTCTAATGGTTTCTTTATCTGCGGTTCTTTTAAAGAGCTGAATTTCACCAGTTTTGTATGAGGAGATTTTAAAATCACTAATCAACTTTATTTTCCAGAAAGTAAATATTGGTTGTACCACTGAATTTACAGCCAATAGTTCTGAACCGCTGACAAAACATTGCATTTGCGATTCGCACTTGTGTAATTTTTATCATCTGCTAACAGACAAAGAAGACTCACGACGACGTAACGAAAGTTAGTGTAAAATGCTAATTTCGATTAATACGAAAATTATTTTGATTAATTTCTTTATCTGCGGTTTTTTGCTAATTAAGTAAAGAAATCAGCAATTTACAATCGCAAACTTTTCGTTTGCCATTGTGAATTGCTGATTTCTTTACGTAATTAGCAAAAAATCTCGGTTTTGAAAAAGAATCAAATCGTCATTTGGCATTGTTCAAAAAGATTCAAAAATTCAATAAGTAAATTCACTTTATATGTTATTGTTAGTTGGTGATAATTTGATATTAAATTTAGTTGAAACGTGGAGAATGCTGCTTCCTAATCAGACTGACAACAATGCTACTTCTGCAATGTTTGGAGCGAAAACTTTATTCACACTTCTGTTTCTCACACTCCTTTTAAAATCTTGCCATAGTCGTTCGTAGCTGTAAGCTTGGCAAAAAACTGTATCAGTAGCAAGATAAGGCAACATTGCTTTTCTGCTTAAACATAGCAACAACAAAATTAGCTGCAAGCCACTGAAACACTTAATCGTATCTGCCTGCCGAATAGGAATAACTATTGTTTTTAGCGCTAGAAAAATTAAAATTTACTAAGAAATTCTAAGTCAGCAAACTTATATTGAGCATAATAATGAGCAGCAATCTTTATTTTACAATAACCATTAATCGTTTACATATATGTGTGTTCTGACGTGTAGAACTTGAGAATAGCAGTATTAAAATCTTTTTGAAAACTGTAATAAACTTCTTTATCGATTTCGTTCTTTTATTTATGATACCGATTATTTGACACAACAGGGTACATTTTTGGCATTCATATTGTATCGAGGCACAAGAATTGGCTTGGCATATACTAGAACTTCAAAACAATATGCTCGATTCTTAACAAACGCTGTTAACTGGACAAAAGTCACTCTTTCAAAGAACACATGCGTATCAGTGAAATGTCCTGTGAAAATTCGACACCTAATGGTATCAGTATCGCGACGAAAGCTTCAAGATCAAAATAAGCGTTCTTTACGTCTCTGCCTTTGGAGAATCTTTACAGCTGACATTTGTGTGTCAGAACTCTTTACTAAATAAAGAACTGGTTAAGAAAACCGTTTATTGACTGCGGGAAAGGACTGTTATAATATTTCCCGGTTTTCCTTTTTATGATTTCTACTACAAACAGTTGCTGCTTACCGTGAAACAGACGCATACTTCAGAGTCTCGAAAGAACTAACTATTTCTTGTTTAGTTTCTGTTAATTGCTCTGCATTAATGCCTTGCTGCCGTCTTCTTCGATAAAAAGGAAAAAGGAGGCACAAAGTTTTTGCACAATTTTATCAAAGTTTAATTATCGGCTGACAACATTTCTAAGAACACTCAGTTTTGTAAACTGGTGACTTCTTGGTGTCAAGAAAGTGCCATTTTCCTCTTTATTACCTCAGTAATACTCTTTTCCCATGTCGTACTACAGCACAAAAATGACATTTAACTGCTCGCCAGATCAATTCAACAAGATGAAAATGCTGTTGTTTCGACTCTAAGCAAACTTA